AAAAACCAAAAAAAAAAAAAAAAATTTGTTTTTAGTTGAGGAATTGCCATAGTGGTTATACTAGTGTACACACCCACCAAAAATGTAGAAGTGTTCCTTTATCCCTGCAGGATAACGAGCACTTTTATTATTTGATTTCTTGATGATAACCATTCTTTCTGGAGTAAGATAAAATAGCAGTGCTGTTTTAATTTTCATTTCTCTAATGGCCAGAGATGTTCAACATTTTTTCATGTATTTATTGGCCACTTCTTCTGAGAAGTGTCTATTCATTTCAGCTGCCCCTGGGGCTGGGGATTTAGCTCAGAAGCACAGCGCCTGCCAGGCAAGCTCAAGGTCGTGAGTTCGATCCCCGGTACCAGAAAAAAAAAAAAAAAAAAAAAAACATTTCAGCTGCCCATTTTTAACTGGGTCTTTTATTTTGAGGGGGTCTATTTTTTGAGCTCTTTATATATTTTAAATATTAGTCCTTGGGCCGGGGAGATAGCTCAGTGGCACAGTGCCTGCCTTGCAAGCATGGGTCCTGAGTTCGATTCCCAGTACCAAAAATAAATAAATATTAGTCCTCTGTCTGAGTAGATGCCAAACAACTTTCCCGTTCTGTGGGTTGTCTCTTCACTCTGTTGTTTCCTTTGCTGTGTCGAAGCTTTTTAATTTGATCTATTCTATTTGTTGATTCTTAGTGTTATTTCTTGTGCAATGGGGGTTCCATTCAGAAAGTACTTTCCTATGCCTATGACTTCAAGAAATTTACCTGTTTTGTCTTCCTGAAGATTAAGTGTTTCTGTTTTAACATTTACTTCTTAGGCCCATTTTTATTTTAGTTTAGTTCATGATGAGAGATAAGGGTCTAGATTCAATCTTCTGCATGTGGATAGCCAGTTTCCCCAGAACCATTTATTAAAGAGGTTATCTCCCTTCCTAGTTGTGGTTTTGGCCCCTTTGTCAAAGATCAGATAGCTGAATGTGCCTAGGTTGTTTCTACATCCTCTATTCTGTTTCATTGAGCCATAAGACTGTTCTTATGGCAGTACCATACAGTTTTTATCACTGTAATTTTATAATATAACTTGAAGTTTGGAGTTGTGATGCTTTCTGCTTTGCTCTTATTGCCCAGGATTGCTTTTGCTATTCTGGGTATCTTCTAGTTGCAGAAGAATTTCAGGATTGTTTTCTCTAGTTCTGCGAGGAACATTTTTGGTACTTTGATTGGGATTGCATTAAATCTATATACCAGCTTTGGAAGTATGGCCGTTTTGACTATATTGATTCCACCTATCCAGGAAAATAGGATTATAGTTTCATTTTAACCCATTATTTTTACTGTATGGAGTGGATAGGGCAGATTTTGTGTGTGCCCATATGCCATGTTGCTCAGGAGTCCTGCTCCACCCTCTGACTCTGGTCCAGGCCGGCCCATGAGCACGGTCCCAGTGTGTCTAGATAAACCGAGGCTTTGTTTACACTGGTAAGAGTAAGTCTTGGGGCCCTGCTACACTGCCCACACCATCCTCGGCTCCTGGAATGCCAGCCTGAACTCCTTTCTGTCCTTTCAGGCTTGGCAGAAGCACAGTGCTTCCTCGCCCTCCTGCAGCATTTAGAGGAAGGGCATAGAAAGTTCAAGGCACACTGGTGACACAGGCTGAGTAGAAACAACGGCAGGCAAGCAGGGACAATGGCAAACAAACAGGCACCTGCAAACACAGCTGCAGGAGTCCATCCAAAGGGGGCAGCCACTCCTCAGCCCCTGGCAATCGCTGTCATGCAGAACTACAGGCTTAGAGTTCCCAGGTCCCCTTGTTTCCAAGAGATACCAGAAATTCAGATTTTTCTAAGAAATCTGCAGATTACTAAATACAACCTACTCAAGTTTCTTAAAACTGCCTTGCAGGGCTCTAGCTAACAACCTGAGATTTGCAGGATGAAACTGCCAGCTTCTTACATAGGCATCTCATGGGCAGATCAAACTGTGTGTCAACTACAGATTAGCACATTGATTGAAGGGTGTGAATCCACCAGTCTCTGTTTCCAAAAACCATCTGACACCCAGGCATTCTCTTCAGCCACCAATGCATACTGGCAAATCGGAGCATGGAGACCTCAAAGCCCCATCCTTTGAATTTCACAGGGCTGCAGGCCACTCAGAGATCAGAGGTTGGAATGCACATTAAAACAAGGAAGGTAAT